AGCTTCACTGGGTTTATGTAATGTTGTTCCAATGACCCAAGCGTGTTTGAGGATGCATCTTCATGTTTGCTTCATCTTGTTCAATGGTCTCTGTACTTTTTGACCGCCTATGACTTTCCTGAGGCTAAGCTTTCTTTGCTTGTTCCCAAGGCTCCCATGAGTGATGACACATTCCTCAACTATATTTAGGATACTTTCTCTTGGATATTGTGATACAATGATCATCAGGCTTAGTCCATCTAGATGGTCATTTTGATGCTCGTTAGATTGTTCGTGATGTGGCTACCTCGATGGGTCTTGCTACTAATGTGGCTACTGACATGGCTGTGGATATGTCTATAGTTACTATAGCTTTCACTAGTGCATGTGGAGCTTCTTCTTTTCATAGAACTTGCAGTACTTATTCGGAGAAGGAGTTTGAGTCTGCACACTTTGGATAGTTATCTAGAATAGTTTATTTTTTGTTTCAGTCAGTAATAATGCTTTTTCCTCATTGCATTGTGTCACATTTGAACTCTTCCTTTTTATTGAGTCGGCTTTCCTCGATCTAGTGTCCATGTAAAGAGGAAGTCTAATTATCCTTTACATTATGCATGCTCTTTCATTCCATTAGTATATATTCTCGTGTGATATTAATTGTGATTTGACTGTGCTGTGAGCTCAAAGATAACATACATGCACAAAATACAAATATGAACGATTTTGCGCTTATTTGAAACAATAGGAAATAAAGAATCAAAGTATACCTCTATTTAGTGCTTAACGGTTGATGATTTGGTAAGAGGTATGGCCGTCATGAGACAAGGCCAAATACTCATTTTACAAAACTTTTCTTAGAATTTTTCACAAATTACAAAATACCATATCAAACAATTTCACTTTAAAACCTTGGCTTGGATAAAATTTAGCTTCCTTGAAAATAAACCCTTTTCTCACGAAAATATTTTGAAAGCTTAAATTTTCAATAATATAAAAAAACCATATTCAAAATAGTTCTAAATACTTGGCTCTGATGCCATTAAAACCCTCTTATGCCCCAAGTCAGCTAGAGACCTCAACGACAAGTGACTAAGCTGGCAACACACCACCTGGACAACAACAATATCCAAATGATATACTTAAGCATCTTAACTGGCATATACATATATTTTTCTTACAAAATCAATTTTCAAGAAATATTATATAAAAATTCATTTATCGAAGAATATGCAATAAAATGATTTAAAAATAGAAATCTATATCAAAACTAAAAATTCACTTCAATGTGTACTTGTGAAACCATTGTTCTTGACTCAACCAACTCTCTACTTCGGAATACACCAACCTCTAGAAAAAGATAAAAAAGAACAAACCAATAAAAAAATCCGTTAGAGTGGATTAACAAGCATCACTGAAGGATAGGATCTAAAGGACAGAATAGTAAAAATATGAATCACTATACAAGTAAGTTCAAATGAAAGAAATGCTCGATAGGATACATTCATCAATGATCCAAAATGAGATGATAACAAAAACTAAATAGGAATATGGAAGGAAATAAACATGTCTGAGCAAATACTAAATCAAAAACAAATTCTCAATCTATGCTAGAGCATCCTTATTCAATGTATTTCTCAAAAGAAATTTTTGAACTTATAACTTAAACTCAAGATGTCTCTATTTCACCAAATTACATGCATATAGAATACAAAGATACCATACTACTCATCATATATGTGTCATACAAGCATGCACAAAACATATCATAATTCCTAATATTCTCAAATTAATTTTACATTATTTGAGATTGAATAATAATTTGGTCAAATGAAGGTGGACAATAAAATAATAACTTAGAAATCCAACGAGCTTCCGGTGAACTCATCAAAATGGCCAAAATAAATCTCACTTCTTAGAAGGACAAGTTATTATTTATTTCCCCTAGCTAGGACCCAATGTTTTCATATCAAATTTATTTTAAGGCAATTACACATGATGTTGTCTAATCTCAGCTTTTCTAAATTGCACGAGTAATTATTGAGTGACAAATTCCAAACACAAAATCATGGTGGTTGTAAATCCTCACACTCACACTTTATACATCATCACTTTATACTAAGAGACAATATAAAAATTCTAAGTTCTCGAAAATCAGGTTTTAACTATCTGACAATGTTATCTCTTCTCAACATATCATATCCACAACCCCGTAGGCAATAAATTTGCACCTCTTGTGCCCATCACCATTTCAGTGAAAAGCTTACCACGTTGATCGAGATAAATATTTGATATTTAAACCCCTAATTCCTATGAATTGCATGTGTAATCCAAAAGGATACGGGTATAATCATCTATAACTAAATCATTATCTTAAGAATCATCATACGTATAGCCCACATTATTAAAAAATTAATTTCATATTGGTAATAACCCCGTACATATTTGGGCTAAAGATTCCAATTCAAGAAATTGTACTTCATTAAAATTTTGGTTCAATCGGACAAATATGAAAACATAACTCAAAGATATCAAAAAAAAAAAAAAACCTTTAAACACTTTAAAACCTCAATAAAAAATGTGTGCACAAAGTTTTAACATCAAAAGAAAGTAATATGAAAAAGTTATGGTGTCAAACAACTCATAAAATACAAAAATACTGGTTGTGCACATTTTTAATTGTCTAAAATTTTGAACCAGACATCTAATTTATGATCCAGGCATCTGACATTTTGGAGCAGGCATCTGAATTTGAAACAACAGAGAATCAATTTTCGGAAAATATCACAAAATGATTGATCTTTAAACCCAGACATCCCTTTTTTGAACCAAACGACTGCATCTCACAACCAGACATTTGAAATATGGATTTTGGTAGTTTTCACAGATTCCAACTTTGCAAATAACTCCCATAAAATTTTGCATAAATACCCCTCCAGAAAAAAGAAGAGAGAATGAATTGTTTTTTATTTGATGTAAAGTTTAGCACAAATGAGTAAGAAAATGATGGAGGTGCCATTGTCTATAAATAAGAATAGAATGGGTATAAATAATGGGTTTTGCCATGGCAAGGTATAATGTGGCTAAACACATTTGTTTTTTTTAATTTTGGGAGTCTTATGTGATCGTAGAATAGTAATAAAACTAAAGGGAAAATTCTATAGGATGGTTATAAGACCAATAATATTTTATGGGTCAGAACATTGGGCAATTAAAAATAACATGTAAAAAAAATGAGTGTAGTAGAAATGAGAATATCGTGATGGCCTTGCGGGTATATACTAAAAATCGGATAAGAAATGTGTGCATCTGTAGTAAATTAAAGGTTGTTCCTATTTAGGATAAAATGAGAGAGAATCGACTAAGATGATTTAGTCATATACAATGGTGATCTCTTAGTGCACCGGCTTAAAAAGTGATAGTATTATAGTTAATGGGTAGGAGATCTAGAGATAAACCCAAAAGTACTTGCTTGTAAGCAATTAAGAATGATATGATTATATTTAACTTAAAGGAGGTGATGTCTCATAATAGAATGGAATGGAAGAATAATATTTATGTAGCTGACCACAAATATATAGGATAAAGGCTTTGATGTTGCTGTTGCTCTAAGCACTTGTTGACTGAGTCTTGAGGCTTAGTGGCAATTCATTTATCATTTTGGAAACTAAAAGCATTTGCACCCCCCAACACCTTTATAAATATTTTATTTTTTTTAATTTATAAATTGACGCCGTGCTTTTTCGCAACTGGTAATTTTCTAACGTTGTGTTTGGATGGAGGTGAATCAATGAAAGTTAAAGTGAAATTTTGTTTTCACCTCGTTTAGGAGTTTTTTTGAGGGGTTAAAGGATGAAATGGAAGATTAAATTTGCACCCATTTTTCTCCCCTCCAATTTGGGTGGTAGGGAAGTAATAGAAACATGTGTAAAATTTTACAGTATAGACAACTATACCCTTATCAGACTAAAATCTATGGCCAAGATGCATATTCAATGATATTTATGTAACTTTGACTATATTCACTTTACTTTCCTCCTCTTTATTAGAACTCCCAAGTAAGGCCCGTTTGGATAATGGAAGTATTAAAGTATTGGAAGTAAGAAGTATGTTATAGAAATAACTTTTAAAACTATGAAATAGGAAGTAGTAGAAATAACATTTTTTTATTTGTTTCATATATTTTAAAAAGTAATGGAAGTGGAACTTCTTCCTCTTCATTACTTTTTTTATTTGGATAACATTTGGAAATATTAGTAGAAAATAATTAACACATGTTGCTTCTACAATTTTAAAGCCACGTCACGCTCTTTTAATTTGATCTAGCACGTTACAACCAGTTTCATACCGCTATGACCCCTCGCCACTTGAGAGCAAGAAGAATCCTTCAACCACATAGCTTCAAAATAATTGTTTACCTCTCGCCTACGATGAGACTCCGGATGACCATAAATTCCTATGAATCTCCAATTTTCCTTTTCCCTCGCTCCTTTGATCGTAACATCAACGTGGTATTTATACAAATAATTAATAGACAAACTGTTCTCTTCATCCTAAAGAAAAGCTGGCAGACGACCATCACAAATTACTACAAAAGAATTGTTAAAAGTAAGAGCAATTTTATCAATGAAAAGTTGTTAGAAATAACTAATAAAGAAAATATTATTAAAAAATTATTTATTTCCTAATTAATATGCATGTCAACTACTTCCGAGCTATTTCTGAGTATTGAGGATTGGAAAAATATTTTAGAAGTAAGGATGACACGTAGGTGTCACATAAGCGTTTAAGGACGTATTGAAAGTAAGTTTTTCAGAGAATCAAACACATTTTTTTTTGCATAGAAGTAACATAAATAACCTCTACTTCTTTTACTTTATCTCCTTCATAACTATTTCCGTGCAAACAAACATGCCCTAAGTTAAAACAAATTTATTTTTGTTCCCCTAACTAAACTCTCTATCAACATTTTATCTTTTTACTTTGGTTCCCTACGTTGCCTTTCCTTATTTAGCTTCCGTCCCTTCTTAACTCCCAAACAAAGGGTAAGCCTGCCTCACGGTCTGAACAAAAACTCGATAAAGTTACACGAAGAGAATCTCTTTGCTTCATCGATGTCGATCGAGCCCTTGTTAGATCTCCTCTCTTACCGTCTCATGTCATCTAATCTCATCGCGGTCCAACTCCAGGCAAGCATCGATGCCCTAACCCTAGATGGAAATCAAACAATTAAGTTCTCTCCCGCTTAGGGTAGGGGAGAACCAACTCCTGTCCGTGATCCATTTTCTTCGATTAAATTATTCTCGATTAAGTTAAAGATTTAGGTGATTTCAACTGATTATTTGTTTGTTCCTTTTCAGTAACAAAGGTTTTGAACTGAAGGAGTGAAGAAAGTTTCAGAAGTTGATGCATTGTGCTCTATATTATTGTTTGAAAGTGAGAAATGGCTCAGTCTTCTGCTCGAAGAATGGTTTCGGTTTACCTTTACATCCCCAACATCATTGGTAACCACCTCGCTTTGTCTTCAATTTTTGTTTCTTAATTAGTGTTTCAACTTTTATTTTGAAAGTGACCCTGTCATGATTACATGAATTATGATGCTAAAGTTTGTGGATGGATGGTTATGCAGTGCTGTTATATGTACAAATGATCATACTAGAAAACGTTTAAATCAAATGGTTGTGTAATTAATTTCAGATTGACATGATCCTTTTTAAGAGATTTATAAACTGTTACCGTTGAGGTCTGTTTGTTCTGAGGTTAAGTTTCCTTTAGTTGTATTTTTCAACTGTTTAGTTACTTCAGAACACCAAAATGAAATCTGTTTTGGTATTGGCTATAGTTTAGAAAACTAAAGTTATTTAAATGTAAATGTTAGACTTAACTGCAGCCTATAGAAGTCCAACCTAAGTGGAGGATTTTTTTTCTAATTCCAAAGTGCACGGAGAAGAGAAATGCGCCCCTACCTACTAACACTTTTCTTGTCTTGCTACAATCTGAAGATGGCTTTTTTTACTTCTAGACAAGCAAGAAATCAGTTAAACAATAGTTTAATATTCATGCCTAATAGTTATTTATTTGCAAACTATGGACAGTGAAAAGACTGTATGTGGGTGCATGCATGAAACTTCCGAGGAGAAATTCACAATTTCAATGGTTTGAAACATAATTTATCCAACAAAAGAAATCTCTGTTGTCTTTTGTGTTTTTCCTACATTGTGTAAGATATGCAGAAATGTTGGTGGATAAAATTACACTGTGATCTGTTTCTGTAACTAACGTTGTTAGATGTTAAGAAGACAAATGATAGGTCATTTGAAAGTTGTCAACCTCATATAACCAACAGTCTTAACATTCTTTAGTGGAGTTGGATCAGTAAGTTTGTTTCCTGCAATAAATGGCCTAAAACTGAATCATGTGAGATATCTTGGACATTTAACACGTATATAATATATAATTAATGAAACACCTTCAAGGTCATTCTTATCTTCTATCTTATTCTTAACAGTACAACCTGGTAATAAAAAAAGATCAATTAATATTAAATATTTTGAGGCTTGTAGAGCCTTTATAGGTAAGTTTCATATAATGTTAACCCACAAACCATTCCTAGGACTTAGGACCACATATGTCAGGATTTTGGATGGCCAGAGCATGACAGTCTAGGGTGCAAATCTAAGAAGAATTTATGTATTGCAAATATGTGGAAAGAAGGATGAGAGCACATCACCTCTTGCTTGCTTTTGTTTTTAATGTGCATATGTAGATATCTAATATTTGTGGAAATTATAATATTTTAGCTTAGCTACATGAATTTGAATGACTTTGTAGGTGGAACATGCCTTGTGGACCTAACTGTACATCTATTATAGTAGGATGAGGATGAGATATAATATTATATGTTGTAATAGTTAATCCCACACATTTAGGGGATAAATCTCACACATTTAAGATACTTAGTTCAAAGAAGACTACAACAATAATTACAGTTGTGATTTGAAAATGCATAGAAATTGTACATGCAGTTGTTTGTTTCCCTGCCATAATAAATTGCAAGCAGGCAGCTTTACAGGAAATGACTGTCTGATTAAAATGGCTGCAAGATGTTGTTGGAAAACGTCTCATTTTTGTGGCTGCAGTTACTAAAAGGCAGCTGTTGCTGTCGGAAAAAAATTTGACTTTAGGTTGTTTACTATTGTCAGCATACTTGACGCCAAATGGAAAAGATGAACGTTGATTTGATGATAACTTGAGAACTTTGTTGAAAAAATTTCAAGTGATTAGTGACTTTGATTAATAGTAATCACTAGTCGATGAATAGTAACGTGTGTGAATATTGTTTAATGCCCAATACCTGTGAATACTACCGGGAATAATAACTTTTGTTTTTTTCTTCTTTTTGAATGAAAGGTAAACAAAAGAAAGATAAAAGAACGAGAAAGATAGGTTAGATTGGATTCACTCGCAACATCTAATTCTCTAAAAATAATGGTAAATGTCAGCTTCACGTGTAGACGTCTAACCAAAAGCAGAATGGCTTTACACCTCTGATGAATCACTCAAAAGACTTTTCAACTCTATTTTTTATTCATATCAAATCTTCAATATACAAAGAAAACCTACAACTGTTGATATAGGGTATAAAATTGTGTTTCTACAACAATTCAAATAAAAACAAGCTTCTATCCTACTACAAGTTCAATTCCTACTAATCCTATCATGCTAGAATTTAAATGAAAATAGAAATCTAATTTAAAATTTAGACTTAATCAATAATATCCTAACAAACTTATTTATCTTTACTAGTCTTTCCACCTGATGAGGACATTTCAACCAAATTTGGATTTGATCTTCATATCATGCTACATTAGTTCTCTTGTTGGAGAAAACTCGACCTACAGTTTTAAAGAAGGATAAGATGAAAACTATGCTACTTTCTATTTGTGCAATCTCTAAGGTATTCAGCACTATCTTCGAAACTCGATAGCATATTAGTGGAGGAGGATCTGACATAACAAACTCAATCTTCATATTGTATTTAATGTAAGTGACTTGAACTATATCGTGTTTAGACTCTACAGTCGGGGATTTTAGGCTCAGACTTAGGCTAGGGTTCAAGTTTTAACTCTGGCTCAAACGCTAGATCAAACGCTGGATTAGCTTCCTGATCCTATTCTGGTTTTGGTTCTTGTTAGAACTCAGGTTCCGGTTCAGAAGTGCTCTCCAATTTTTAAACTTTTTCTTAATGAACCTGGTCATTATCATGCAGTCACAAAGTTGGATTGTTCTAGGTGTTGAGGTCACAAAGTTTGGCTTTGGCTCATGCTACAATTCTAACTTGAGGACAAACTTTGGCTCAGGTCTAGTCTTTAAACTCGCATCTGAATTCTTTTGGAGCACTCATGGTGACTTTTCTAGTGGTTTTGAAGAGACAAGATCTCCTAGTTGGTCAATGTGAGTATTACTTCCCAAAAGAAATTTCTTAGATTTTCATGAACATATATACGAACGATGTGAAGAATAATAGTACCATCCCCAATCTTTGCTTCTCTTTTCAACTTACACTTAGCATACATATACATATACATCTCCCACTCCGACATATCATAAAAATTAAACAAATCTTCTAATTCTTGCATCTATATTTCAAAGTCATATTTTTCCTCATATCCATTAAATTCATAAAATTAAGATATGTTGCTGAATATAAAATGATTAAATTCATGTTCTGAAGGAGACAATAGCTATTTACCCATGATAATTTTAGATTGTTGAACTTGCTTTGATACCAAATGATGCGCAACGAAAAAAACGATCTTTGATTTTGATGATAGTATGAGAACTTTGTCGAAAAATCGTCAAGTGAGTTGTAACTTTTAAGAATAGTAACTGATGAACAGTTACCCCTACATGAGTAGTGTTCGATGAATCGTACTCATGAATACCAGAACAAAAAGTTTTATTTGAATAGAAGGTAAAGAGGAGAAATAAAAGAACAGGAGACGATATATGGTAGGTTGGATTCACTCGCAACAACTAACATCTGAAAACGATGGTAGATATAGGTTCCACGCACATATGTCTAATCGAAAGCACAATGACTTCACGCCTTTGAGTAATCACTCAACAAACTTTTCAACTCCATTTTCTTATTCATATTCAATCTTTTATATACCAAGAAAACCTATAATCCTTTGTGTAGGGTTTAAAATTTCTACTACAATTCGAATAGAAGTAAACTTCTAATTCTACTAGACTACTACAAGTTGAATTCCAAGTAATTCCATCTTGCTAGAATTTAAATGCAAATTGAACTCTATTTTAAAATATAAACCTAAACAATAATATCCTAACGAACTTATCTGTCCTAACTAGTCTTTCCACCTGATGAGGACTTTTCAACCAAAATTGGATTTAATCTTTAAATTATCCTACCCTCAATACCCATCATAAATGACATGCTATAGTGCAAACACTTATTTGTGGTTTCTCTGCCACGTCCAATGTGTGTCATGCATAGACTTCATAGGCATACCATTGGCATTATGTTCAATATATCTAGCATTGTCGAAACTAAATTTTTATTTTCTGTGTTTAAGATTAGGTGGGCACTATTTATTTACCTGGATCCATGAGTTTAAATTTGTTAAGATTGAATCTATTACTAAATATCTAATAGTAAATGTGTCAAAAAATTCAAACCCTTTACATATTGTCAAATGTGGCCCAAGTGCAATGAAGGATGACCTCTCATATTATGAGACTGAACCTTCACTAGCCACTTGTTCGGAAAATTAATATTATTTATATTAAGAAAACTATGTTATATATAGTGGGTGTGTTGGTTAACTGACAGACCGTAGCAAAATTATAGTGGAGAGAGAGAGTATTAGTGGATCCACCTACTCCAATATGACACTAGATGTCCCCTTCTTTGTATTATATTTGGCACCCATGTCTACTTTGTGCTTAAGAGTTGATATGTAGCAGTTACAACTTTTAATGTTGTCACTTTCAATCTTGTAATTCTGTTCATTAAGTGACTATATTTCATGACTAATGAGCTCTTCATTTCAAGACATTTCATTTGCTCTGGATGAATTACTAATACTTAAAAGTTCCTATTTTTAAATAAATATATATTAGTTCCTTGATGTTTGTCTCGACACAAGTAATAATAATGACAACCTAAATATAAAACATCACAAATAGATTCAATGCAAGATGAACTATGCTAAACTAGGCAACATCCTATGTATCCTAGTCTCCAAGCTATATCAATGCTCTAAAGAACGAATATCTAAATGTTGGTTTCTAAGAAAGTTTTAGTGCAGCCTAGGATGAAAGTGTGCTAATGGCTTGCAAGAGATTCATTGACAAATACGTGTTGACTATATTTTGGTTCCTTTATGTTTGATTTGAGACGAGGAATTAAGGAACTACTAGTAATGACAACCTAATTGCATCACAAATCGCAAATGAATGCACTACAAGACAACCTACGCTAAACTATACCCTATAAATCCTTGCTGCATAAATGCCCTAAAGAACAACTTTAATGCAACCTAGATGACATGTATGCTAATGACACGTGAGAGATTCATTAACGAATACTACTGATTATGCTTATCACAATAACCACAAAGTATATAAAACTATGATAATCAGATTTTTTGTAAATATAACTGAAAAGTAAGAGTGCATGCAGATTTTGATTCCTTAAATTGCTATCGGATATTCCTTCACTTTTGATCTTAATATCTTTCTGCCATGAAATTTATTGAGATCTTTTGTTAGGGTTTGGGTAAGTTTGTGTGGTGGTGGGAGATGAGGACATGGGTTTTTCCTGATGGCAGCGAGACTGGGGAGAGATTCTTAATGGCAACACTAGCATATTAGTGAGAGGGTATGGGGTGTTGTCAACAGTGAGGAGGCTTGGGGGTAGTTAGCAAGGATAGAGGAAGAAGGAAGATTAGGATTAGTGTTTTAGGAATCACTCTTTCAACATCCTCTATATTTTATCTTCGCAATTTAAAAGGAAACTGATTTTATTCATCAATCATTTTTTTTCTCAAATTAGAGACTTCACAATGTAACTTATGTGAAATCACATGGGGGTTAAAATGTATTTGCTAATCACATAATGACAACAACAACGAGAATAAGACATTTATTCTAGATTTTTAGGGTCCAAACATGAATCATATTCTTTCATAAGTTCTTTTATGAGTCATCTCTTCGATGATGTTAACTTTTATCATATCACTCTTAGTTACTTCCAACAAAGTTTTCTTATGGTATACCTTGAGTTACTTCCAATAACATTTTCTTAAGGCATACATTGAGTCCTCTCTGTCCTATCAACTATAATGTTATAACTACTAAGTCCTAATTAACATATTTAGAGGGTGTTTGGCAGAGCTTATTTTAGGGTCAAATTAGCTAGCTTTTTTATTTCAACGTGTTTGGTAACATCCCATATAAGTAGCTTTAAGCTAGCTTTAAGCCCATATTAAAAGTTGGGATTCCCCAACTTCTAAAAAACTAGTTTATAAGATCAACTAAATAAGCTGGGTTTGACCAAGTACATGACAATATTATCCAAACAATTTTTATAATATTTTTAATATAAAAGTCAAAAGCCACTAAAAGTTAGCTTAGCTTATAAGCTTCAAAAGATAAGCTCTCCTAAACACCCTCTTAGTCGTCTCAGTTGTATGTGTCCAAACTATCTCAGTCGATTCTTGCAACCACTAATCTCCTACGAATACCCTCACCTCTTGTCATATCTTTAGTGTATATCCACAAGACCACTATAATGTGCTAGTCACACATGCATATGAAAATACTCTAATACATAAATCTGGAGTGATAAGTAAATATTATAAAGTCCAAGATAGAGCACACTAAAATAGAACTAAAACAGATGCCACCTTCTCTCATATCCTTAAGAATAAATTCTGGAATATCTAGGAGCAAGATACCCAACAATGTTATATATAGTTCTTGCGAACACAATTTTCTTATAAGGTTGTCCGAGGTTTCCTTCCATTCTGGGCAGTCCGTCCTATAAGTTTTTGTTCTTTCCACTTTCATATTTCTAAAGGCTTTTCTCGGTCGTTAAGTCATGCAAGCGTTATGTCACTGTATTCTATTCAATGTATATGGTGGGCCTGTGCTTTTTCCTGCAGATATTTGATTTGATTTTTTTTCTGTTCTGTCTGTGCAGGATATATAAGAGTTATCATGAATATTGTTGCATTTGCTGTTTGCTTTTCCAATAAATTGCTGTTTGCCGTTCTTTACTTTATCAGGTAATTATAGTTACTCCAAGTAAGCTATAATTTTAGTATTCACTTTTACATATGATTTTTTTTTCCTGAGGTGCTTATTTGCAAATGACAGCTTTGCTTGTGATGCATTGGATGGTTGGTTTGCACGCAAGTTCAATCAAGGTACACTTCCATCCCTACCTCCCTCTCATTCATTTGCACATATGTGCCTACTGCATACATGCGGTATAGTTGCTTTCATAGTCATTACATTAACATATTTTTTTTGAGTGGAAGAAATTTTTTTCCACAATATAATCCCTATTTGAGTCTCACAGAGATTATGCTCTTAAATTAAGGTAACTATTGGAGATCATATCTGTTGCTTCTAGAATATTGCAAAATGTTCACATTTCTTTCTTTTGATATGCTTTAGGTTTTTTTTTTTTTTTTGATTTAAAGAAGATGCTTCAAATACTAGTTTCCAAGATTGGTGATTCTAACAGGTTCTGATATTTAAAGAATGGAATCAATCTACTCGAAAAGGTTTTAAAAGTTAGAAGTCATCTGCCTGCTAATTGTTACTTGAGGTTTCACACTTTCACTTGAAATAATTTAGCCCTGTGTCATTTTCTTTATTTCTCAAGATTTTGTTTCCTTGCATATGTTTCCTCTTACTCAACGAACCGCAATGCCTCCACGTGAAGCAGACTTGAGACATTAATGAAAAATATTATATCCAGGGAACTGGATATATAGTCAAAGAGGAGGCTGACTATACTTTCCAGTTTGGAGAGTAAAAAAGGTGTCATCTGTCTCAAAGGAGAAGATAGGAGCTGCATGTTTTTTGACCTAGAAATGGCATGCGATCATCCCTTGGAAGTTCAAACCACAGGAATGGTGGGATGGGGATTTGTAGGGCTTGGTGAGTGGGGATGGGTTAAGGTGAAGGACTTTTTGAAGGACTATATATTACAACCTGTACTGGAAGACTTGTATGCTCTTGCAAACTTTTTATTTCCATCATTCAGAAAGATGCATAAGATGTTTATAAGGATATGAGCAATTTCTTAAGCCTTTGTTGGGCTTGCACACACAAGGATAATGGTCCACTATGTTGTTCTCTCTTTGGTGTTATGGTTATATGATGTAACGAGAAAATTGAGTGCTTATGTTAAATACATAACTGAATATTTAACCATGCGGTCCATGTCCTTGTGCCAAAAGTTTTGCAAGGTTTCGTGTTAGCCACTTCCAGACAATGATCTCTGTAAAAGTGTTCTGGAAGTTCCTGTGCTGGCAGGTTCCAGACACACATATCTTAGAATTGTATTCCTTGCCTCTGGGTTGCTGTTGAGCATAACCTAAAGTTGACAAAGCTCCATAAGATTTTAACCAAAACTATTCCAACCTGTCTCGATTCTTGTCTAACCTGTCTCGATTCTTCTTAAATCTGTGTCAGGTTCTAGGGAAGGCAAGGATGAGGATGTGAAGCACCTTTGCTTAAAACTTGAAATTTGATTGCTAGCTAGTAGATCACCATTTTGATCATGCTGTTTAACTTCAACACAACCAAGGAGCATGTCTAAATTACCCTTCTATTTAGGGGAAGAGTCTAGACAAGACCATATGATTTACTGCAAGGAATCACATTTATCTTTGAACGAGCCAAATGAAATCACACTGCCTAACAATGAATGCATATTCAGGGTTTCTAATACACTTACATAAACACACACTTACACATATATTTATATATAGTATTGGAATAGTATTTTTAATTGCCATTATCATCTCATGTGAGTGATCCTAAATATTTGGGATAAAGGTTGTGTTGTAACAATTATGATTATATGTTTGTTGCGTGCACCTTGATTTGATATTTCTGTGCTATATGTGAGAAGATCTCCAACTCCTTTTAAAGGGGTTTTTCCTAGAAACCACCTTTCATGTTCAATTTATATCTAAATCACCTTTAAAGTAGGTTTTTGTTGCAATCAACCACCTCTCTATCAAATTTTGACTAAGATACCAAAAATAAGTTTAAAAAATTCAAGTTTAAGGTACGTGAATTCTATCCTAAAAAGACCTAAACCCTAAAAAATGAGTCATGTGCCTTGAGCCTGAGTTTTTCGAGGGTAATTTTGGATTTTTAGTGAAAATTTTGACTAGAGGCGGTTGATTGCAATAAAAACCCACTTGAAAAGTTGTTTATGTATAAATTGCAAATGAAAGGTGGTTTTTGTATAATTACCCTATTTTAAAGGTGGTTTCTACAAATAACAGTGTTTAAACTCTTTTAGTCAACTTATTGTGGCTTAACACACAAACTTTACTGGAAACATATATTTCTTTCTTCACATTTAAGCTACATGAAATTTTGATCCGATGTGTTTGGTTTCTTCTCCAGTGTCAACTTTTGGAGCTGTCTTAGATATGATAACGGACAGGTATTTTTCCCAACTCATGTGTTCATTATACTTTTGAAATGCTTAGGAGTCTGTTAGATAGTTTGTTAATGCTTTGTGTATTATTTACATACTATATTCCAATCATGCACTTGGTATATCTCATATGATTCTGCTTGTCCATCTCTAGAGTTAGCACAGCTTGTTTGTTGACGATTCTCTCTCAACTTTACAGGTAAATTGTTGTGATATTTTAGTTTATATGATTTTTTTGTATCATATTTTATTACCTCGCCCTGTAATTCCCCTCTTCACAGGCCTGGCATGATTTTCTTATCTTTGCTTGGATTGGATATTGCTAGCCATTGGTTGCAGATGTACAGGTATTATTACCATTTAATCACTGCTAGATATTTAATTCCATTCAATTACTTTCAATGTTTCTTAATAAATTAGAGCAGTAACATAGTAGCGAAGCCGATCTCAATGAAATTGAAGCTGGAAAGAGTTTCCTAAAATACATTCTTTAATTGCAAATACAGTAATATGGATAAGTAACATATATGACAGAGTATTTCAAAATAAAATATTTCAAGTAATTTTGAAGCGATGAAGTATAAAACATACTATCCACTAAATTTAAACATTATACATCAATATTTCGGATGTTGCGATATGGTTTTGATCCTGGTCAAAGGTATAAGAAGCAATTGCTTTAAATATGTAAATGATGAGAAGGCTAGGGAATGAAAAAAAATTGCTTGCATTGCAATTTGCGGCTGGTATTATTGGTGGGTTGGCGAATACTATCTTGCTTGAAGAAAGAGATGGGGGAACTGAACCTTGTGATGAAGTGCGTGTTCAGACAAAAGTTAACCCTCTGTAAGACTCGGGTAGAAGTTTCGTGCAAAAGGTGCATATACTAGCCCTTTCTCATTTGTTGTCAAACTACCCCTATACTTGTTACCAAGGAGAATTTCAGCTTATTAAAACTTTGCGTTGTGTTGAAAGATGCTTTTATCTTCTCACATATGCTTATTCCTTTTTAGTTTGTAATTAGACATTTTTTGTTTTATGTGTTGGAACATACAAAATAACTGCCTCTTCATTGCTTAGACACATTCTACATTGTATTGAAATAATTTGATTTCTAAATATAAGCAACCTTACTATGCATCATATGATGATGGCATTTGAGCTCACATCCTCTACTAGCATTAGGTATATTTTAATATACTGTATTCAGTCTGGCGTGCATTTTAGGTGGTCTATGAGGCTTAAGACTAGGGACAGGAGTATAAATTTTGCTCTTAACTTGGATGGAATTTGATATTTTATTTATCATGACGTTACTATACATCGCGGTTCTACGACTCACATGCTTTGCTATTTCAGTACTTTCTTATCAGGTAAGACTAGTCATAAAGATGTTAAAGACAAAAGTAGTTGGCTTTTGAGAGCATATTATAAGCACCGTCCATTCATGGCTTATTGTTGCGTGGGCTCTGAGGTAAAAATCATACCAGATACTTGAAAACTTAGCCATATTATTAAGTCCCTTATGCTAAATGAACATAAATTTGCGTTTCAGGTTCTTTACATCATCCTCTTCCTTCTTCACGAGGACCAATCTGAAAGTGTTGTCACTGTAAGCATCTATATGACATTGCTATTTTTACGAATGAAGTTTATCTTGAGGTTCATGATTTTATTTCATTGATAGGTTTGTTTGGATGTAATGAAAGCAAATTTAGTTCTAGCATTGCCACTGTCTTTGTCTCTCTTTGGATGTGCAATCAAGCAAGCAGTTAATGTTATACAGGTTTGGCTTATCCTTCATTGTTTGGTGCATTAAATGCTTGAAACTATCATCTTGCACTTGTATATGCATTTTGTTCCAAACCTCTGAAAATGGACTTTAGGAAAAGGAAACCGGGTATGAGGTGGCAGCTCATTTTGCTAAATGAGCTACCAAGATATAGATTAGTGGTGAGGCCCATCCTGCTAAACTAGCAATGATGTCCGATCCAGCTAGCACATTGGATCTGGTGGACCTCGCCGCTCCTATCTCACTTGTTTTGCTAAATGATGTGGCAAGTCATATTCAATATCCCTTTATCTAATTTATTTCTATATCTCTAGTTGCCATAAATTATAAGTTTGCATCATTCATTGTCATTCTGTCTTTTATAACTGCCTATTGTATTGGCACACATTCTATATCTCCTTTTGGCCTATTTTTTTCTGTAAAGTAGTTGTTAGTTCATGGTTCTTTTCACTTCTGTTTGCCATTTGTGCAGATATTTACCTATATTTTGTCAATAGTTGTTGAAAAACCTCCTCATTGTTGGCTCATGGTATTCATGCATGTATCGATTAGAAATTTATCATGGACAATTGTGACTGCTGCAGATTGACATACACAGGGCATAGTTGCTGCAGCGGGTAGCAAAATGTACTACCTTTTGGGGCTGTATATGAGTATACGAAGTAGAACATGTTCTGCTAGTATTTTACTTTAAAAGCTACCAAATGTGACATTTATATACCTATGGCCTCTACTCAAATTTTTCTCTTCATGCTCTGCTGATGATTGTTATTTCGTAGTCCCAAGTAATTTTGCCTAAATGAAATATGATTTAGAGTGAGAATGAAAAGAACTAAGATGGCCTAGACCTCTTCTACTTTTGTTGTTTTACTTGGTACGAGGGCTGAGCTTATAGGATGGGTTTGTTAGTGTGTTACTGTTACAGTTCTGTAGAGTAGATTTGTAGAAATATGGGTCCACAAATTGGATTAGGCAGGTAATGCTTCTGGAGCAAAGTTTTCCAAATGAGAGAAAGGAAATCAACTTTGAGAGCATAGCTTCAAAATTGAAGATGGTATAGTAATAGGGGCTAATTATAGTGGAATTCTTGCCAAAGTAGCCACTGAATGTTTTCATTCTTATAGTTAAGTTTCTGTATCGATCAACATAAATTCAGATTTGGGCTTAATAGAGACAGATCGAATTGATGCTTCTTATTCATGCCATGATTCTTGATATATGGAAATCATGAGATATAAATTTGATGCAAATGGTGTCTATTGGTAGTGACGGGTTTCCTTCTTTATTTCTTGACAATATCTTGTATCTGCTTATGCACAGGAGGGGTCATAAACTATAATTCCGATATTTTTAAATTTTTTTCCTCCATTCAACTTGGTTAAGTGCTACATTTACAGTCAAATCAGCAAGCACCATCTTTTGTAATCTTTTGAACCACCATAACGTGTGGTAACTTTTGTTCTAGTCTTTGCCACTCAAACTTCCCATCATTCTTTACTAGCAGGCTTTGTGGTAACTATTGCACATGTTCAAATCATCTGAGGTGATTAACATCAAACACTGTTTTAAAAAGCAATTTGGGCACCCGCCTAGGTGGCTGCTTAAACCAAAGCTGTACCTAGGCCGCCCGTGCTCCCAAGGGGAGAATGGGCTGCATATGCGGATTATACGGTGTTAGAAAGAGGTGTACTCCCAAGGGAAGAATGGGCTGCATATGCGGACTATACGGTGTTAGAAAGAGGTGTACTGCTCGCTTAAGCATAGTAATGATTGAAGAGAGTTTACTAGGTTAAAATGTACTGGATATAAAACTCTATGCCCAAGTGTATCTCAAGTAAATAATAAGGATATGATTTGAATCTTCAAAAACAATCCTTCCTCCCTCAATGTTAAAAACGTCTATGTGCCGCTCAAATGTCCACATACACCTAGTTGCTAAGCGCAAGGTCTGGCACCTAGAAACGCATAGCGCTTTCTAAAACATTGATATCAAATATACTCAAGGGAAGATGGATGTGTGCATTCAGTTGAGGACGAGTTGAACAATAGCCAACTTTTTTTCTATAACCTGTTCAACTGAATGTATCATTTAGGAGTAATAAGCACCTAGTTGCTCAATGTCTAGCGCCTAGAAACACATAGCGCTTTCTAAAACATTGATATCAAATATACTCAAGGGAAGATGGATGTGTGCATTCAGTTGAGGACGAGTTGAACAATAGCCAACTTTTTTTCTATAACATGTTCAACTGAATGTATCATTTAGGAGTAATAAGATGAGAGTTCAGGGAACAACTAGGAATAGGAGACGCAAAATCAACATGGATTGAGACACTAAGTGAGCTTAGCAGTTGGTATCACCATTTCATACACTAGTGTGAAACACCGTGCAAAGCACGACCTATCTTTTTTTTCCCGTTACAGTAATCCCGGTTTTAGATGCTACAATATTTTTTGAATTGCTACAGTATCCCACTTCTGCTACAGTGATTTTTAAAAATGCTGCTTCGCTCCCGTATGCGACAGTATTTTTTTTAAAAAAATGATGCAATATCCCGCTCCCTGATTGCTACAGTAATAACACTACAGTAAATGATACTGTAGCATTTCATGTAGCATGAATAATGAATCTTGGGTTCTCCTATTTGTATAGATGAATAGATTTGTGGGAGGTTGTGAGTTGTAAGTTCTTCGTTTGTTATGGGCGAGGGATTTTCACATTAATATGTAGATGGTGGGGATGCAACGATGTGCTTATAATACAAGGATTTAAGGCTAATGCATACTATTAACAGTATGAAGATTACTAACTGCGTGGAGGCTAATCATTGTCCTTGTGCATATCAATAGTTCTTTCTCCTTTCATGGAAGTTTCAGGCTTCTTTCTCCTTTTATGGAGCTTCTACAACGTAACCTGACGGGCTTGTCTCCCAAAAATGGACTAAAGAAGAAGGATGCTTATTGTTACTTTGATAGAGAATACGTCCAAATAATGGAACTAAAAGCAGGTATAAGTAGGGAGCTGACCCCAAGATTTTGGGGTCATCACCATAATCTGTTTCATATGGTTTTGTTCCAATCTCATCGCTCCATCTGCATTAGGATTTAGTTTCTTCATGCTTTTATTCTATGAGTGTCGAGTTCTTATTATTGGCGTTTGTAGATCAAACTAGATCTATCAGCTGGCATAACTAGTTAGTTCTGTGATATGTGATGTATGACATCTAGGTGTGCTTCTAAATTGTTCTTGCTATGTGTGTAAGCTCTTTTTATTAACAGTTCAGATCATTCAGAAGTCCAGCCGATACTGTGATCATTAGCACAAATTGACTTTATCAGTAGATATTATTACGTGCGGTAGACTAATGTTTGACCCCGTTTATTCCAGATGAAAACAGCAGCTGATGTTTGTGTACTTTATGATATGCAACGAAAGGAGAAACCATGAATGATCAACTGCAAAGGATATGCGATTCTCTGTTAACCTTTTATGTGAAGCTCTGGTTGACTAACAAAAAAACTTGGCTGCTCTTGAAATTTACTTATGGTGCGTTGGCAGCTATGCATTAGTTCAAGAATTGCTTCATGTCTTCAGCATTAGATATTTGCACGACTCGCAGTAACATTTGGTTTCTTTTTTACTTTTTGTGAATTTTTGGTCACTGGTATAACAACTGCTTGCAAAATGTTGTTAATGAACCTCATTGTGTAGGTGATGCCTTTTTTGTATGATGCATGGTCAGCTATTATAAATTCTTGTGCTTAGTGTCCAATGATATTCTTAGTCGTTTAACTACAGAGCGTAGGCGATAATACTTCAAATCATTCTTACTATGGTCCGTTACTGTTTGTTTTGTACAGAGCGAAAGACATCTACAGGGTTGGTCTTTTTTTTTGTGAAAAAAATCAAGTTGCTAGAACCATGAAGATCAAAATCAAAATCAAGTTGCTAATGGAAGAGACGATATGTATTTTTGTTATCTTGTGCTATTGCCAGAGAGCATAGAAAGTTGTGTAATTATTGATATGTTTTCATATATTTGCTAATAAGAACCCCTTAATGACTAGCAAATTATACAAACAACCAATACTTTTAATCTGAAAGCTCACCGTCAAAAACTTTCATATAACCGTAATTGTTCGGCTATACAAAAAGAAAAAGAGTTCTTTTCATTTAACGTCTCTTAGCAACATGCCAAATCTAAAAGTTTGGCCTATATATGAACCTATGCATAATCTGAAAAATATTTGAAAATGATGGAGTGAGCCAAAGCTTGTGAGCATATTTTCCACTAGGGTTCCTCGATACCTAAGAAAATACTTATCATTAAAAAAATCAAATTATAAGTTTTGCAGCAGTAGTTCTGAAATAACATAGTACTGCATGGAAGAACTCATCGCTAATATTTTCAAGAAAGAAATGCGCTAATATTTTCAAGAAAGAAATGCGATAATTTAATTTCTTTCTTGCTTGCAAGTAGAAAATGTTATCATAAACCACTGAATCATACTGAAAACAGAATATGAGAGTTTGTGCAAAATAAAATGATTATCACTTTCTTAAATTTAGAGTTTTATGTTTGCGTCTCAAATATCATTGACTTGTTCACATAATTGTAAGAATCACCTCACAGGTCACACATTGACTTGTTCACATAATTGTAAGAATCACCTCACAGGTCACACTAAAACTACAAATATTATAGCTCAAAAGTATGGGTATGCATAAAATGCATTATATAACACATAATTCCTGGGAATAGAATGAAGCTAACACTGTCATAGGCCGTCGACCATAATATCACAAATGCAAACAAGGGCGATATAATAAATGCTCAAAAGGGCCATATACATGTGCATTCACCAGATAGCAGGTACAAACACATCACTTTGTAGTGGACTTTTTAAGGGTTTTGTAAATATCAACAACCTTTGTAGGATGATGTGGACTTAAGTGTTGGCTTGTAAGGGTTTTAGAGGTGGCTCCCATTGCACTCATGCACTGTTGTAGTTTGTCTTGCATAGCACCTAGCTCTACACTTCCGATTGACTAACTACTCTTTTAAGAACACATCACTTGTACCAAATAATATTGGTATAAACTTGATCACATTGTCAAAATCATAAACACTTTCAAATCAAATAGACTAAGTGTAAATATCAAATAAATAGTTCATGGAATTTACTTTTATTAATTTTTGTTTCAAATATCGAATCACAGGAAAATCTCTTGAATCCGTCAAACTGTTATAACACATTTAAGATATTTTGTTTCTCAATAGCTTTTGAATAAACAAAATTCACATTTATTTGATATCTCATGCAAACTAAAATCACATCAGATTCTATACGAAATCAAAATTTGTTTCATATATATTTTATATGGAATCAAAAATTACCTTCCATATTTCATACGAAATAAAGATCATATTATCCATTGTATAGGTCAAACCACATTTGATATCATATGTATGAAAATAATAGAGCACTTATCCCCAGAAGCACAACATCAATCAAACATTGGGTACATAAATTGGTAATTTGGGAGGAGCTTCTCTTAGCATTTATTTCCTAATGATGGGAATAAAAATGTGTTATAAATATAGCAGAACTTAAATAAGCTAACAAATACTATCAAGGCAATCTACACATCTGAAAACAAAGAAAGAAAAAACATAAAAACAAACAAAACTACCTCACCCAACATCCAGACAACAAATATCGCCACCAATGAACCATGCTCAAGCCTTCATAGAGAAAGGCTTGCGGATATCTGATCCCTTTACTATTAAAAAAATTGTTGAAGTTAATCCAAATACCAGGAGCATTTTGATTTTAATTATCTTTAGAAGATTGCTTTTATTAGGAATTAGTATTTAGGAGTTTGGATAGCTATCTTTAGACTATATTTTATCTGGAAACACTACTTTGTAAAGCATATAAGAGGGCATATTCATGTAGCCGTGAACCGTAACTTCTATTAAAAAATATAAATATTGTGCTTTGCTTGTCCTTTCTCCGTCTCAACATATATATAGTTTGATTATTATTAATTTTGTGTTTTGATCCAACAGTGGTATCGAAGCTATGAACAATCTAAATGGGACGACATCGCCTTCTATTCCTATATTGGATGAGAATAATTATTATCGGTGGAGAGTGCAGATGAAAGTGTTGTTCGAATATCAAGATATACTAGGTGTCTTAGAGAATGGAGTTGTTGATTTCGCAGAGAGCGCAAGTGAAGTCAAGAAGAAAACCCACGGAAAGAACAAGAAGAAGGATCGGAAGGCTTTATTCTTCATCCATCAAGGAGTGAATGATTCAGTTTTTGAGATGATCGACGGAGCAACTACGGCGAAGCAAACATGGGAATTTTGGACACATCGTACCATGGAGTTGAAAAGGTAAAAAAATTAGGCTTCAAACCTTGAGACGTCAATTTAAAATTTTGTAGATAGAATCAATTGAAAGTGGTGTAGATTATGTGACTTGAGTACTTGCTTTGATAAATCATATAAAAATAAACGGGGAGAAGGTTGCAGATTTAGCAGTTGTGGAGAAGATATTGCGATCTCTTATAGAAAAATTTGATTATATCGTGGAAGCAATGGAAAGGTTGAAGGATTTGTCCAAGATGACAATTGATGAGTTGATGGGTACCCAACAAGTTCATGAGCAATGCATGAATGAGAGGTTAACCGAGAAGCCTCTTGTGAAACCTTTTCAAAGTCAAGCTTCCATCAAAGATAACAAAGGAGCACATAATGAAAGAGATTAGCAAGGAGGAAATTTTTGTCGCAGAGCACAATGATACAATAACTATAGCAACCGAGTAGGCCTGTCCATCCGGGCCCGGGCGGGCAAAACCGGGGCCCGGGCCCGGGCCCGGGGCCCGGACCCGGGTACCCCGGGCCCGGGCCGGGTTCCGGGCTGGCCCGAGTGTTTTTCATTTTTTTTTTTTAATTTTTTTCCAAAATTTTTCGATTTTATTTAAAATTTAAATTATAAAAAAAAGACAAGAAAAATAATAAAAACAATAATTTTATTAATTACTTAAAATGACATAAAATACAAATAAAAAATAATAAAAACAAATTCTTTATTAATAATTAATAAATCGTTTACAAATTACAAGTATAAATTTATTTTGGAATTAATCGCATCACAATAGATAAGTAAATCTCAACTAGGTTGGCACCTACTCACCTATATCACTATCATTTGCAATTATTTTCAAAATAATTCTTTACAAATTTTAAGCTAAGATATAAAAACTACAATCTATTCTTTATATCTATCTGCTAGTCCCAATTCTTCAAATTTATCTTCAATTCCAGCCATCCGATCGATGCCTTGCGTTCGCTTCTCGTACCTCCACCAATCTTGTAAGCACATCACCGCTTGTACAGTATACGGATCCAAGCATGTCATATGATCGTCGATCAAATGACCTGCTGTGCTAAAGACGGATTCCGAAGCTACCGTCGAAACCTGCACTGTTAGTAAGTCACGAACCATGGTGGAAAGTATAGGATATGAAACTGATCCATATACTTTCCACCATTGCAAAATATCTAAAGCATTTCCTTGACATCTAACTAAAGAAGCAGAAAAATATTCATCTATTTCAGAAACCTCCGATGATGACGATCCAAGTCCAGATCCACCAGTTAGCTCAGCTACCATTGCATAACTATCAAAACTTACACTTTCACCTCGGGCTTGGGATGAGCGCGAAGAAACCGAAGCTGTAGACTGTTGTGTAGTTACACCATGTCTAGCTGCATACTCATCATATAAGGTTTGAAAATAACTTCTAATAGCTAAATGATGAGTAGTAGCAGTAATGGTGGTTCCATCATCTAAGTCTATAACCTGATTACCATACAAGGATTGTAACAAACTTCGAAGGCCAATATCCTTCAAGCATGGATCAATAAGAACCCCCAAACCAAAAATATGAGGAATAGGCCTAAAGTACTTATTAAATTTCCAAAAGTAGCATTCATACGATATTTCCCAAAATTTTTTTGAATATTTAAAATTTGTAAAGCAGCTAAAATAATGGTTGGATAATAACAGCCAGATAATAACATTGTAGCATCATAAAAAACTTGTAACATTTCATTTAAATTACATATAATTGTCCATTCATCTTCAGTTATTCCATAAGTGCTACCAGAACTAGAACTAGAAGCATAATAGTTTATAAAATCAGTTATAATGTCTTTATATTCTATTGCTACACTTAACATTGCATATGTGGAATTCCACCTATGGTCAACATCTTTTGGAATTAGTCTAGGCTTTACATTTTTTCTTTTACAAAATTGTTTCCATCTTTTAAGTCTTTGTTCAGAAGCACTATGCATGTAAGCAACTGTTCTAACCTTTTCTATCATGGGTTTAATTTCAGTAAATGCACTTTGAACAATTAAATTTAAAATATGACAGATGCACCTAATATGAAAAAGATCACCATGACATGGCAATGATAAAGATGATCTGATAAAATCAACAGCTACATTGTTATTACTTGCATTATCTAGTGAAAGAGAAAATATTCTTTCTGAAATTTCTAATTTCATAAGTTCTTCAATTATTAAATTTGCAACATTAGCACCAGTATGTGACTCTTCTATTGCAATAAAAGAAACAACTCTTTTAAACATTTGCCAATTTTCATCAATCCAGTGTGCTGTGATACATAAATATCCAGTTTGTGCTCTAGATGTCCAAATATCAGAAGTTAAAGAAAATTTACAGTTTA